AATATTTTCTAACTATGAACCTTTTTAGTTTATTATCATCCTTACGAAACTTCTGGTCTTGTTTGGCCAAAAATCTTCCATCGAATCATTGTTGGCCTTTATATATATCAGCTCATGATGATAGGATACCTGTCTTTAAGAAAATGTAGATACATGGCACTCAGTTTGACTCCTCTTCTTGTTATTACAGCAATATTCTATTATTATGTAAATGAAGCATATGCCCGTAATGCTGCCTTCATTCCGTTAAAGACTTTAACCGAAGAAGGCACTGATGACGATTCATCTTCCATGCCTTCCACTAGCGGTAAAATGAATATTCGGTCAGATATTGAAATTTATCATGCGGATCCAGAGTTGTACACAGATTATAGTCAACCACCCATGACTTTATACAACGGCGTACTCAATACTGGAATGCGGAATTATGGCGCCCCAGCATTAGTAGGGGTACTTCCTTGGTTATGGCTTCCAGTTAAGGGAGACAATACTAATGAAATGAATAAGCCCGGATTTTTCCGTCGTTTATTAGGTTTCAATAACAAGAGTAAGCAGCCTAATGACGAGGAACGTGAACCATTATTAAGTGAATCGACCGAATCAGAAACTGTTCAGCGCGCTAATGCTAAAATTTTAGAAGAAAAACACAAGGCACTAAATGATCTTAAAAATCCGCACATATATTATCCACACCCAGAACGTCTTAGATTAAATGATGATAATATAAGCGAAAGTAGAAATCATGCAGCGAGTGGTTCAGGAAGTAACTCGACATAAATATCGTAGGATTGATAAGTTTTTAATTTATTTAATATGATTAAATTGGTGTTTTTATAGACTAAAGGAAAAAAACGTTTGATTCTTTATTGAACATTTTTTTCTACAACTTATACTGTTTTCAATCATTTATTTATTTTAAGATTGAGTTGATTCATTGGATTATTTATTGAAAAAAAATTTTAGTTTCCTTGTGATATAATTACATTAGAACATTCAGAATCGTGTAACTTAGAGATTGGTTTTACATGAATATGGAAAAAGGTTTAATATTCCATAATTGCAAAAATTTTTTATAATGATCTATACATTGGTTTGTAACTCTTGAAACCGCTTGATACGCTCCTCAACCTCGCGCATTCTAGTTTCATATTGTTGATCATGTTCTGCTTCGATTCGTTCGTCTTCTTCGAGTTGTTCTCTAGCCTCAGTAGATAATTTCTGTCTAAGCTTTTGTCGCTTCCATTTAAGATAATTCTTTTTAGATTTTACAGAAAATACTGATTGTTTTACATTGGGAGCATCAATATTAATAGTAATTTGTGATGTATCTTGTATAAAATCTGAAGTTGGATTTGAGTAATTGCGAGTGATAAGATCTAACCGGCGCTCTCTATCCCATATTATTTGTCCGTTCGAGATGATTTTAAAATAACGAATTCGATGAAACTAAGAATCGATGTATTAAATAAAATAATTATAAAATGGTTTAATTATTTTTACATTTTTATAATAAAGAAAAAATACCGGTATCTCTGCTGCCTCGAATTCTTCCCGAGTTGTTTCCATAATTCCAAGAAACCTCTGAAAATTAAACATGTCTTTTTTTAATATTTCTCAGATACCATAAATCCAATAAAAATTATCTGAAATATCTATACATCTTCATATCCTATAAAGAAGTCACCAAACTGTTCCTTGTCCCACACTAAACGATTATAAATCTCGTGTGCTGGCTTAAATCGCTGCATTGCGTTAAATTATAATACAATTTATTAACAAGTTAGTAGCTTAAAAAAGGTGAATAAATAATATAGTTCCCG